TGCATAACTGACAGCGGTGAACAGGCATGGTGACTAAATGGCCTATAAACCCACCTACTGGCCAATCTCTTTCTTTTCTTTTGAGACAGGACCTCACTATGTAGTCCTAGCCGGCCTTCAACTCACTACCTGGCCCAGGCTGGCCTCAAACTGGCAGCGACACTCCTGCCTCAGCCTCCCGTGTGCTGGGATCACAGGTGTGCATCCCCATGCCCGGCTTCTGCCTCTGGGGCTGCTGTTTTCCTAGTTGTCTCCTTCCTCGCTGCGAGGAATTTAGTGTCTAACTGGAAGCAGGCAGCTGCGGTCTAGTAGCTTTGCAAAGAAAAAAAGCTCCCGAGTCACTGCGGGCTTTCTCTCACCCTGGTGTCCTCTGCACTGCCTTTTCTAGGTCTTCGCTGACTCAAGTTCCGGCTGCCCAGGGTCAGGGGGCAGACGGGGGGAGGGACTCTTGCCGCCCCCACATGGAGGCCGCCTGCCTCGAGGCGTGGCCACTTCCTCCACGCAGGGCCCTCTCCGCTGGCCCTCCCTGCAGAACAAAGGAGAGTGGGGCTGGGTGTGCTGCTTCTGACAAGGGCCGCAGAGTCCCCCCACAGCGAGGTGAGCTCCCGTTCCTCTGCTGGCATTAACCAGTAGCGTCTCCGTGCTCCAAGCCTTAGCCTATGCAGCAACCCAACTCCACACAGGGTCTTGCTATGTAGCCCAGGCTGTGCTCAAGCTTGAGGCAATCCTCCTGCCTCAGCCTCCCTTGGTGAAGTGGGCAGCTGGCCTCTGTGCGGTTCTGGCAGCACAGGGACCTTGGGGCTCACAGATGAGCAGGGACCCCAAGCCGGCGTCCCTGGGGATTGTTGCTGGCACTGTTCAAGGACGTATTTGTCCTTTCTGCCCAATAAGTTCTGAGAAGCCACGTGTGCAGCGCTGCCGGGTGGCATTTCCTTTCGTGGATGGCTGGGTTAAGCTCAGCTCGTTTCTGTCGTTTGAGCCAATAAATTCCTTTTGTTAACAAAGCCACGTTCAGTCAGGCTTCGGAGTTAGCTCTCCTGAGCTTCAGGTTTCCACCAGGCAAACGGAGGTGTGATTTTGATTTCGTGCTGTGTGGGGGTTTCCTTTGGCGGGGCAGGTAATTTGAAACAAGGTCTCACTAAGTGGTTAGGTTGTCTAGGTGAGCTTGAACTTCACATGCTCCTGCCTCAGCCTCCCCAGTGCTAGGACTGAGGCGTGCACACGGCACCCAGCCTGCAGGTCTGCAGGTCTGCAGCTTGGAGCTGGCACGGTGCGCAGCCGTGGGCGCTGTGTCACTAGGTGGCGCCTCAGGGGGGTCCACCCTGTACAGCTGTGTACAGATGCTGCAGTGCCTCACCTCGTAACGCCCGGCGGAGCTGAATCCGCGGGTGCTGGGCGTGGAGGGCCACCTGAGGACTGTGGCTCTCACCATGGAAGCAGAGCTGTAGGGGAAGATGGTGTGCTGCTGATTCTCCTGGAGGAGCTTGTCACGCTCGTTTTCCTGATGTGAGCTCAGCTGTTTTCATCGTCAGAGGAGCTCGGGTCCTCGCTGTCCCTGAGGATGGCTGCGGTT